GGGGGGGGGGGGGGGGGGGGGGGGGGGGGAGGGGGGGGGGTTGTATGCGGGGGGGGGGGGGGTTTGAGAGCCCAAAATAGTTTGAGAGAAAGTGTTTGTGCTGTTTCAGTGAGATAGGTGTTCTATGATGTAAATGACCTGACAAGGCAAAAAGTAGGTTAGCTAGGAGCAAATACATGAAATGGGTGATATAGTGAGTGAGGGTTGGTAAAGGGATAGAAAAAAAGGAGTATCAATGGATATTGTTCATAAAATCAAAAGTGGATTGGCTGAGAGCATCTGGTTCTGTCTCTCCTACCTTCCAGGTCATCATTGGGCCACCATCCCAGATCACATGCCTTGCAGGTGAACTCATCCTGGACATACTCATTGTCCTTGCATGTGGTGCAGATCCAGCAGCAGCTCACCTCGCCCTTCCTAATAACCTGCAGGTAGAGAGGACAGACATCAACGACGAGGAGTCACAGACATCTTAGCAACCAGTCACAACACTCATCAAACCGTGACAAGAAGCACATCACACCCAAGGCTACACAGGTAGTCAGCAGCAAGGGGATATAAAAGTCGAGGATATGTTGTTCTTATCTTCTTGAGCCCCAGACATGCTGTTTATAAAACAAGGCTGGCTGATTTTACATTCTGCTCCCAGGGAAGCTGTTACCAGCACTGTGATATGTAAAGCAGGGTCATAAGTCAGGCAGGTAACAAAGCAGATATAGAGGGGAAAGCATGAGCAGCCGGGAGAGAGGATGCACCCTCCCTCAGGGCAACTAAGAGTAGACTGAAAACAATCGGCTCAAGATTAAGCAAATCAGGGCATTTCGTCAAACTGGGCTTTTGATTTTTACTCCGAACATTTTTCACCATGTTTATTTCGACTGAGAAAACATGTGCTTATAAATTATTTTCTCCATAATATTTAATTGACAAAGCAGGATGCCAAAATGTGGGACAGAGTAACATCCTTGAAGTTTACACTGCTGCTGAGGATGCATTGGATCAAGTGCATGTTGGCCTATTGGGTTAATGTGCAGTAGAACACACCCTACAAAGGCCATTTTGCAGGAGTGTTAATGAATAATTAATGAATCCAGGTTTTACAATTTTGGTTGGATAGGAAATGCTAAGACACAAAATGTAGGTCTATGTAATCCAAAACGAAGCCCCACTGTTCCATCATCCAGCAATACCTCCGCGGAGGTAAAAGAGAAACTGGACTATGCACACACTGTAATAAACGGCAACTGTCAAACATCGACTCCTAGATTGCAACAGGTATGACAAAGAAAGAAGGGAATCAATATCAGGACTAATTGATGGACAACACATTATTACATTTGGGAATCTGCTAGACAAGACATCAAGGAAAGTACATAACCTTCTAATTAATTACTTAAGAACAACGTGAACAATAGATAGATGGATCCGTTATGTTCCAAATGGAAATATCTGAACCTGGACAACTTTTAGATGGATTGCCATCACATTCTGTACACACATTTATGACCCTTGACTTTTCCTCTATTACCACCAGACATTTTTGGTTCACAGTGACATGTCTCGACAATTAGACTATTGTCATCGTGAGCATGTTAGCATGCTGATGTTCGCATTTAGCTCAAAGCACCACTGCACCTAAGTACAGCCTTAGAGAGTTGCTAGTACTGCTATAGACTTGCAGAGAGATACTTTTAACTCTTAGACAACTTGGAAATAGCATTCTTCAAGTATCCTTCTTGTGTTCACATTCCTGATAAAGACCAAGTACTTTAAGAAACTCATTGCATGTGCCTACCTCGCCAAACTCATCTCCTTGTTAACAGAAAATTTGCTAGTTAGAGCAAAATCAATGTTAAATTTACTTACGTATCTGGCACAGTGTTGAATTAACACTTCTTGATAGCTTTGGACCTTCAGAGTCACACTCCAATGTTAATGTTAATGACTTTTGATTTTTCAGACTTTAGGTTTTTCAGACTAAATGAACTCTGGGGGAGATCATTTAACGCTGGAGGACTTGAATCATACCTTAATCTGTCCTTTGGAGCAGGGCTCACTGCAGACTGAGCGGACCATGTCACTGCTGTTCACCCACAGCTTGTAGTCATCGATGCTTAAGATGCCCTCATGCCAGGAGCCCACATTTAGGTAGTCATAATGATCATCACCCACACCCTGTAGATTCATGATGTCATATCTGGATGGACAGAGGGAGGGAGGGAGAACCATAATGAGCACGGACAAGTTTATTGAGTGACAAAGAGGAAAAAAAGACTGGTAGGGGCGAGAGTTAAAGATTACAAACAGAGACAGAGTGAAGAAGCGGGAGATGGAGAGGGAGGGGAGAAGGAGAGAGAGTGACAGGTAATTTAATGATAAGGATTTGGCAGTTTAGTAAAGCTTTCATCCAAAGTCAACAGTTTACAACCCTGTTAGTGTAACATCAAGAGCTCATGCCAATGCACACTTTTGGCCTCGTCTTTATATTGGACCAGGATGTGCTCCACCTGACCCCTAGTTGACGAAGTAATGACACGGCTGTGTTTTCTGACTGTCAAATGCTGCCTGTTGGACTGCAGAGAGATGAAAGTGGCTGCCACAGTGGACAATCCACTGAATCTGTTCCAGTCCAAACTAATTACATCCTTCCGTGCTCAAGATTGGTTCACACTTGTGTGCATGTACACGCGTGCTAATGAGTCGGAGAGCGTTAGACGGGAGAAATTCACAGATTACAATCACGTTGACGGTATGGAATCTTTTATGAATATAAACGATATGAAGCCTTTTTTATATTCTTACCACTTAATCATCCTCTTACCTTCCTGGGGTGTCTCCGTTTTCATCAAAATAAATCTCCTCTCCTGAGACTCCTCTGAAGGATATCTTCAGCAGGCTGTCCAGCAGCTTGCTGCCATCGATAGGTTCCATGGCCTCACAGAGCCCCGGCTGCTCTGGGCACAACTCCTGGTGCATATCATGGAGGCCATGAGCCATGGCATAGATCGCATTGATGACAAATCCCATTTTACTATCCTGAACATAGTTGTCATGCAGACTCTCATTGCCTGTTAGAGGGGGAAAAGAAAAGGGAAGGAAAAGGAAGGAAGTTTTTGCATTTTTTTTTTACAATTTAAGAAAATGTCTTGGGCGTCTGGTGTTTTGTGTTGTATTCAAACTGCACTGTAGGAACATACACAACAATGCATGATTAAATTAGAACCAAACCTGGATAATCGATTGCAAAGCAGAACCTTCATTTGCAGCAAAATATATCAGCATACAAGGAAATCCCAACATGATATCCAAAAGCTCAATAGGAAACAGATGTGGAGAACCACCATTGTCTGGGGAAGACCCAAGACTGAACACCAAGTTTCACTTCACCACCAGCCCTCTAAAGGGGCTTCCCCACAGTTAATATTTTGTATGAATGGTAACTAAAAGTATAAAATGTTACATTTTTCGCATCCTTGTATGAAGATGTTATTTCCAAAGTTTCCGATATGTTTAAGCATTTCCTTTGCCCCCTTAGACAGTGCATTTAAAATATTGATATTTACTGTCCATCATATACATCAACATGCACAAACAGAAGAGGGTGTGATCAATTTTAAATAAAGCAAGATCTTTTTAAGCCTTTATGGTGAACAGTGTGTGCTTGGTGAGCCATTCCTTTATGCAGCTTTACAAAGTGTAAGGCCAGTTCCTGGTTATTCCTCATACACAAGCCCGGTGCTCCACGTCAGAGTTTGACTAATGCAATCCTCGCTCTGGCTGAGAGCCTGAGACTGCCAGGATCGAGACATCTCACATTGTTACCAAATTGCAGTTTTAAAACATCACAGATGGTATTGTGTTAAAGAGAGCATCAGTCAAACTCTTCCTGTCTTGGAGGAGTCAAATGCTTACAGAGTGCAGGTGCAATTCGGATGAAATCATCACCGTAGTAGTGACAAGGAAAATGCACTTACCACCTCGAAGGTCTTAGGAATAAAAGAGGTGTATAAAAGTGTTGTGGAGAGAAAGTAGTGAAACACCTGCTGCTCTGAGATAGTAACCATCATAAACCACTAATTCATTTTATGTATCAGTTGATTAAAAGCATGCTGAGCAATTATTGATTGCTCATTTGATTACTTTATATTGTTTATTGGATTTTCTTGATGAGGGTTTTAAGTTGTGATTAAAATGCCGAGAACACAATTTACCATGATCACCTTTTGGGAGCAACAGGAGAGAATATTCAGGGAGGAAAACAGAGAGAGAAAAATACACAGTTTTTGTTATTATTCATGAGTTTGATTGACACTCTGGTCAAACTCAACCATCTACTCTCATTGACAGCAAGATGAACACTGCTCCTATTTATAAACTACAAAGATATACACTTTTCTGTTTTCACCCACCGGAGCAGACTTTCTTGTAGTTCTTGTTCTCCTGTGGGTGGCCTGCGAGGCGGCACTGGAAACGGTACTGCCAAAACTCAGAGAACCAGGGGTTCCTGGAGTTGGTGTCCAGACGCAACTTCAAATAGTACTCATCGAAGGTCTTGACCAACTCTGATTGCAGCTTCATGGTGATTCCTCCCTCTGCTTCTTGCTCATAACCCTCCACAACCTCGTAACGGTCTGCCCATCCATCACTGCAGGAGCAAGAGAGAAAGAAGAAGAGCATATAGCATATCGATCGCAGGGGGACCAATAAAATGAGTAAGAATACAACAATGTCATATGCCAAAGTGAGAGGCACTCCTGGACAGTGATGATAGTCTTCACTTGTTACTGTCATGTGTCTTTTACATTGGATTGTTGTAATTATAATTTAAACTTAACTGCTGATTCAGACTGACATGCCCATAAAAGTATTCACAAGAGCATGCGTCATTGACACTACAGTAATTTCATTTCACACAACGAAAACATAAGAGCTTCCACTAATGCAGCTTTACTTTGAAGGACGGATTCTCTTTTCCATTCGTGGTTTTCTGTCTTTTCTTAGGGGGACAAGGCAGTAGAGGTGTTTAGTATACACGTACGAACAAATTTCAAACAACAAATCTTCAAACTGAACCAATATTACTGAATCACAGCTGTTACTAGACAAATGTGCAGCTTTTCGCAGTCAAGCTTCCCTCAGTGGTGACCAAAAGCATCTTTGTCTGTTCAGCCTTTAGTTTGTGAGACGTTTATTGAAAGCCGAAGAAACGATCATGATGTGATTTCTCGATAGCAAATAGTCACCTGTTGAGCCATTAACCTTATGTAAAGTGCTCGCATAGGGACAAACAAATGAGGACAGTCAGAATTGATAGAACATCGCTGCCGTATGAACGGTAATGCATTCACCGATCGATGTAATGATTCTGCTTTTGAAAGGTGATGTGATTGTTGTGCTTTAAGGTGACAGATTGATTGTAGAGAATGTACAGCAGCACAACAAAACTACTAACTACCAAAAGCCATTTGGACATACAGAGCAGTAAACATTAGCAGCATGTCAGTGTTCAGATGGAGACGAATGGCAAATGGAACGACAGAACAAATTCAGTGCACAAACCCAAAGTCTGGTCATGTTTTGCTTTCATTTAAATAATGAGCTTCCACTACAAGTAGGTAGACTACAGCCTCTACACTTGTACAATGCTATTTTAAATCAGTGTGGCAGCACTGGTTGGAAGCTTATCTCAAGTCCACCGCAGTCAATTTAAGAGGATGGAAATCTCACCATTAGAGTCTCAACTGTAATTGTAGGCTTTACACAATCCCTTCAGCTTGCTTGTTTGTTTCCTTGTTTAACCCTCTGTGTGAGAATTTATTCCCTACCAAGCCAATTTGGACACACAGCTGGCCAGGGGGCTCTGAGAGAAATGGAAAACACCACGGAAAAACAAATAAACAGATAAACAGCATCACTTTTAGCGCTGCTCTTTCTCTAGATCTGAGCCGGAGTGAGGTTTCCGGCTCTGTTTCATTCTTTGTCTCTCTATCTTTAATGTGGGCTCTGGGCTACTTCCTTGAAATACCTGTGCTATTGACAGCTACACACCAATTAGGTATGACTCACCATGGAACCAATTACCTCCCACACATGGGATGTTCTGGGTGTTGGATTCGTGCGTCTGTGTCTGTGTGTGTGCAGGTCAAAATCTCTGACCTTTAAATCCACAATTACCGTCAGTCACGAAAAAGGAGACATTCAACCAAATTTGTGAGGATGAAACTTTACAACCAATGTGACTGAGCTAGTATAGCCCTTCTATAGACATATGGATTCCTATATATATTAGGCACTCAGTCTGGAAATTATCTTGAAAATAGAGCCCGTCATCCAGAAGTTATGTCTCCCACTGACACTGATATGTCTCTCTGATCCTGCACAATGTTGGGAGGTGGGAAATAAGTGGATAGGGCTAGTGTTGCTTTATTATTTTTTCTTAAATCTTTAAAAAGGCTTGTAATTTTCTAAAACAGCTGGCCACTAGTGCTTGCTTAGTTACACATTCAGTGTACCAATACGTATCGACATTACCAGAATGATGTAGGAGGGACTTACTCATAATAAACAGTGCCCATGTTCATGGTAATGAAAGAACATGTCAACCAGCGCATAAGTCCTGGACAGCAATGGAGCTGAAAACAGAGCCAACTGGATATGTTGTTGCATGTGGGATGCAGCTGAGAAGATATATCCTTGTAACTTTGCACAAATGCATTGGAAACATAACAGATTTGATATCAATGTTCGGATTTGACGGGCTTTTATGGAAGATTTGTGACACAGTAAATGTGTAAAGTTGACAAAGGCATGCTTGTTCTAAGTGATTAAAATGTGATGCTTTAAAAAAAAGTATGTTGTTAAGTAAGGTAGGCTAGAATCTATTAAATTATACATGTGGGCTTTTTTCTGTCTGCAACAGTTACTGTTGGACAAGACAAGGGAACGCGTTCTATAAGACAAGAGCAGTGTTGAGTGATGGTGTGAGGACAAAATTACAGCGATATGGTCTAGATCACAACATGTCTAAGGATATCTGCTCGTTGTCTCCTAAAATGTTTGCTGTAAAAGAACAATCATACTGACTCATCCTTTTCACTCTGCTAAATGAGTTGAGAGTCAGAAACAAGTGAATTTCATCGGTCCTAGTCACATTTCCTTAATTCGCTGCAGGTGAATACTGTCTCTGTCCCTCCCTCTATCTTTCAGTATATGTAGTACAGATAAAGACACAAAGACACACACTGTAAAGATTTGTGTTTATCAAAAACCTTCCCTGACAGGCTCAACTGCATTTATTGCGATCTATTAAATGTAATTCATTGTTTTACATATTTGCCCTAACAGAACAGTGGAGAACAGGTTGGTTTTTAGATAAAGAGAGAGAGAGAGGTTCAACACTCTACATGAATAAGGCATGAGGAAGTGAAGGCATGCTTGACTGTTTCTCACAGTGGAGTTTGTGATGAAGTAAAATGACATTCTCTCTTCTCACTCTCCTCTCTCAGGATCACACTGGTTGGCAGAACTCCAAGCAGCTCATCTCGGGCCATCTGAGGGACGCCTAATGGGACAGAATCTGATTTGATGTCACCTCAATGTTGCGCAGCTTGACACTGCATACTGGAACGCCGTTATTACATAACCTGAGTCAGATTTACCAGAGGAACACCTGTTTAAGCAGATTAAGGAGTCAACACTGTTCGAGTTTGTAATTAGTTCTACAGTTTTTGTACTGAAGACTGCAGAAGGAAGTAGGTCTAAGATATAAAACAGAGCATAGCTCTGATATAGTTGTTTTAACATTAGTTTTAACTTTTAAATGAAGCAACACAGAATCTTATAAGAACCAAGCATTCAAATGTTCAATGTGAACCCGTTTTATGTTGTACAAGTTTTAAACCAGCCTGTTTATTAAGTGCAGTAACATTTCTCTGACTATGAGCTGGTTTATTCTGTCTCAGGTGTTTGCATGAGGCCGTTAAGAAGGCAACATACCGAATGCTAGTTTCTTTAAGGAAAAGTATCATAAATACAAACACTATGTGTTGGAGTACTTATGGTTAATCCAACAATCCTCACACCTAAAATACAAAATAGTTAATTTGCTGTTGCCCTCAAACAGCGTTTTCATTTGCCAGTGCCTTCCAAAAGAACCCTTATGACCATAACAAAAGCTCATGAGCTTTTACTGATCTAGCAACAAAAAACTAAAAAGATTAAAAGGAAAGATTGTTGTCATGGTGAAAAGACACCAATTTGGGCTGTTTTTAGGTATTTAAGTCCATGTCCATGTTACTTTAGGAACTTAAGTGAGTACAGTAAGTACAGTACAAATGTAGTGAGGTCACAGTGGAATGAAACAAGTAAAACCCACAAGACTGAGGCTAATTGTGACAGTATAAACTTAATGTAATTTCATTTTTACCCCTTCAACTTTCCAAACACATTTAATGAATCATTTATGTCAGTACTTATCTCGGCAAGTAAAGTCAGCAGGATGCTATTCCTTTCATGCCACATGCTTAATAATGGGACTTGCATATTTTGATGATTAACTAAGACTTGGTAATGTGTGGCATTGTTTAGAGGAGCACAGCAGGACGACAGGAGAACAGCAGGATCATTTACAGAGTAGTATACAACAGTGAGTAGACTGAGAGCTCCCCCGACTCTCCCAGATGATCTAGTTCCAGTTTGATAGCACATTTGTATATTTATGAAGCCATGAATTAATTGGCAGGGCAGAGATTTAATCACATGCGCTGTTTCCCCTGGAGGATGAAGAGGAAGAGTTACTTTAAAAAGAGGAAAGGGGGAGGATAGGGGAATCAAGAGTTTCCTAATTGCTCTATGCAATATGTTAGAATAAAAGTTCAGATAGAAAATGGAAAAACTTTTAAGCTGTTATTCACAGAACACTAGAATGTCAACCGGCCTAATGACAAGAATTACATTATTCTATTCAAGTAAAGTCAGGCTTTAACTCATGAGCAAACACACATTTCCAATGACCAAGTATACACACACTCGTACTGTGAAGAATGATTTACACATTGTAATCCCACCACTCTCTAGAAGACGCCTTTTTCTGTTCCAAAATGGATTTGAGAGAATTCTGAAGGTGTCAAATATGACAGCTAATCACAGAACAGTAGCCCAACTAACCTGAGACATCTGGGAGGATTTTGGCGTAAGTGTGTAAGCGAATGGGATTACAGTACTTCCTCAAAATCAGGTAAATGAAATTGTACTTCAGCCAGCGCGGACTCTGAATTTGAGCACATGCTAACTGGAGCTGACATCCACTCTGCTCTCAGTGGAGGGGTGGACGAGGCAAGAGTGCGAGTCATTTTTTCCCATTTCTGCCATATTTGGATTTAATCTAATGAATGAACTATCAAAACGCACATGAACCATGGATGTATTATTGACAAGCCCTCGGTGCAGCTGAACTTTTTCGTCCTCTCCTGAGGACGGACTGGTGCTGCAGTGACTCACTATCACCTCTCCAGGAACAAGTGGAATTACAAGACATACAAACCTTGCTGGTTGGCAAGTGTTTTAAACAAGTTTCTACACGGTGCACCTTTATGTAAATGTTTTTAGCTATTTTCCACCACCGCTCTCTTTAATTTCACAACAGGA